CGTTTAGGTTTTCTGAGAATTATTCGCAAGAAAAAATTTTGAGTTGTTCTAATCTTCTCTAATAATGTTTTGTAAGTACCTCCCCAGCAGAAGAAAAGGTTGATACAGATATAAACAGGTTGTCACCAAAATATCTTGCCAGTGTCAGTGATGAGGATTGGTTCAAGTAAAAACTCAAGAATAGAGACTGTATTTCAGTAAGCCCCCTCAAATCTGAGAGAACCTAAAACCTTTAATTCCATCTCTGTACACCCTTGGAAAGCAACATCTTCTTCACATGGCAACAAGTGTCCAAAGAAAGGAGGGACAGTTAATACGGATAGAAACAGGCTATCACCGAAATATCTTGCCAGTGTTAGTTGTGAGAATTGGTTCAAGTAAAAACTTGAAACCTTTGTTCATGTAAAAACTAAAAAAAAAAAACTGTATTAAAAAAACTTAGTATTACCTATTTCATTGTTTCTTTGGTTATGTTTGACTTTTTACAGTATGAATTGAAAGTTTTTAGAGTTGTTATTATTATTCCATCTTTTAAATAAAAATAATAATTGACTATGAATAATAAGTTAATACACTAAAGGCATATCCTAATGTAAGTAGCACAGTACCAATAAATATTTATTTGAACAAGTACCATATTAAAACTTTACTTTTGAATAAAGTGACTAAATAGCGGTCTAAAATTAACATTATAGCCTATGGCCAATTAAATACCTTTTTTATGTAATAGCCTTTTTCTGAGTAAGTAATATTTAAAAAAAATTATATTATCTTTGTAAATTCATGTAGGTACTTAGGTGAAACCTGTCAAAATCTATCGTCCCACATGAGGTTTCAGGCAAATTCAACTAACAACCAAATAAAACAGGTTGATGAATTTGTTGGATATAATATTTCCTTTTCTTTCATTTCGCAACAGGTCGCTCAAAAGGTTTTGCTGAATCAGTGTTTTTTTTTTTGTTCATTCAAGCTCTTTAACCATACAGAAGAAGGAGATAATATGAAATTATTGGGTCTGTCGTCTGGTAGAGGGAGTTAATATTACTGATAACTGGTTCCATATCCTTTAAAAAAACCTTCAGATTGTATTTGGATCTTAATCAATGAATTGCCATCTTTGATTGTAATTGTAAACCAAACAGAAATTTAATCAGTGGGAGGCTTTTTTTATTTGATAAAAATATAAGTTTGTCTTGTCTAGAAAGCAGTAACATTCTTTCTTCTAATTTTTGTTGTTAGCCTATGGATTACGTTAAATATATAAAAATTGGTGTAAATACCTGCTCCTTAGTAATTCAGATTATTGCAATGATGCTGATTTGGTGTACAATTGCAATTAATAATTTGCATTACTAAGAAGCAGGTATTTATCCTTCTTACCAATTATATTATTTATACCAATTTTTATATCATTCTTTGAAGGGGGTCTTCTCTCACACTGCAATTTCGATTCCTTCCCTTCCCACGTCGGCCAACATCCTTTATTTGCATGTCAATGAATTTCATGTTTGACAGCAACCTCATGGCAAAATTTCACAAATTTAGGACTTCTGTCCTAAGGTTGATGAGGTCCTGAGGTTGCTGTCAAACTTGAAATTTATAGACATGGGAATGAGGGTCCATTGCCTCACCATATCAATCACATAAAATTGTACACCTATAGTCTCTCTTTGCCAGATAAAGACCCTGCGGGCCCTCCCACAAGTTTGTTCGCTGGGCTCACTCTCCCAATAACCTTTAAAACATTATCACATGTATTACCACTTAAACTTGCACTATGGCTTGGCACGGCATCTCCCGAGGCAACAAGGTGTCATCATCGTCTTTCATTATTGTACCTACCAAAATAATGAATACTTCCCGTAGTCATGGAAGAAACATTATCATAGTCTACCGTGATTGTAATCAAACCTATGACATCTTTAGATAACAACATCATCGTCTCTCGCATTCATTTCCCAATCCCTAATATCTCCCGCGGCCCATGGTGACAGGGAAATAATTTTTTTCTCAATCACAGGAAAATTGTAGATATATCTCTCGCTGAAAAATAAATGTCATTACCGTCTTCCAAAATCACGTCGAATTATTGAACATCTCCAGCGGCTGCGGAGACATCCTCATTGACGACCCCCCCCCCCCCTCTTGGGGAAATGTTTTTGTCAATAACTGCGATCGCGACAAAAGCGTAAGCCTAATCTTTCAATTTAGTGAGCCTGGTCCACGTGGACATAACAGCTTTTACTTTTAATTGGGCATTATTGTATTGAGTGCTGAGAAAATCGGCTTGAGCTTGATTTTTTGACTTTGTGCTTGATCTCTCAAGCTTGTAGGCCAGGCTCTGCTCGGCTTGAAAATCGATACCGGTATTATATAAAAATCAATAGTTTCCAAAGTAAACAGATTTTGAAGCAATCTGATTTGGGCCAAGGCCCATAGGTGAGTAACAATTTTTTACCTGACTCGAAGTAAACAAATCTAAAATGCGAAGTCAACCAATCCAAAGTGCAGCCTCCTAATTGTAAGGAATGAAATGAAATAAAAATCCTTCTTTAGCACTAATGAAAGAATGGAATTATTTATTAGCTAGGGCCCTAGCCACCTAGGTTGATTCGCCGATTTGATCGTTAAAAAATGTTCAAGTTCATTTAATTGAATCAGCATAGAGGCCCCTATCTGGTGTGACCCGCCGAGTGCTAGGAGGATTAACATTAATGTTTTATCCTCCTAGGCCGGGGGCCACATTGGTACTAAATACAGCCCTATTATAGGACCTTCACACAGTCCACAAGGACAGTTGATGCAAACTGCACGAATGATGACAATTCTTTTACTTAGGTTGATAGAGAATTTATATCGATTGGTCAAGTATCAATAGTGTCAGTTTAGCTGTTGTAAACTACTTGTCCTAGTGCTCTCTCTACTGGTTTTAACGAATCTCCGTCATAAAAAACGTATGCTAATTCTCTTATAAATATTGTTATGATAGGGGGCCCTTGTGGCTGAGCCTGTCGCACAATTGCGGGCCCGTGTCGCAGTAAAATTTCCCAAAAATCCTGATTAAGGCTCACAGGCCCCCCAGCACCGCAGGGCCTGTTATCGCCACTACTGCTCTTTGCTATTTTGTGCATAGAGTAGACCATAACTGTAATGAATATGGCAATTGATCTTGAACAGTAGGGGACCACCACCTCCATGAGTTCATAGTGGATACAGCTCAATTAGTAAAGAAATGCAAATGAGATTAGATGCAATGGCACTGTTGTGTTTCCGTATTTTATGTATGGGTGCGTTCACAAAGAAAGCTGGTTACAAGCGCTTGCAAGTTCCAACCCGCGTGAGAAAAGTCTACATTGTTGGTTCAAAAGAAATTCAATCCAGTTCATGAATGTCACGATCCAAATGCATTCAATTGATCTAGACTGGACCTTTTTGTAGTATCAGGTTTGAGCAGTTTTATATGAAGCTAAGCTGGGTAACCGTTTTGGTATTTTAAGGCTGCTGTTTGATGCAATTTTAGAAGGCAATATTTTTATGTGGTTTCAGTCAACTATCGCAAGGTGAGTGAGCATAGCGGACGAACTTCAACCTGGAGGCGAGTTAGCGTAGCGAACGAGCTAACCTGAAGGCAAGTGAGCGCAGCGAACAAGCTCTAACCTAAAGGGGAGTGAGTGTGGCGAACGAACTTCAACCAGGACGTGATTGAGCCATGCAAACGAGCTCATCTTGAAAATAAACGAGCATTTGACATAAAACCGCATTAGGACAGTACAACGTCTGTCGGGCCAGCTAGTTAGTTATAAAATTAAACTGTCATAACCTAACCTAACCAACCAAACTTGCAGATAGGCCTAGTGAAAACACCGAATGAAGGTTTACTAATAATCGGTATTAGCATACCTAAGTTGAGGAATTGTACACAACTTCTTTTTACTTTGTGTGTATTACAATGTAAATGATCACTGTTTTACAGGTTTTTGCCTGTGGTCTGTGTGTACTGTTAACCAAGTGACAGCCAGTCTATGCGTAAGGTTCAAATGTAGGCCTATACCTTGGTCTGTGGCAATGACTGCGACGTCGCATAGGCCTAGGTATATGTGACACTCAATAGCGAACATGTTAAAAAGAAAATTTTCAAGCCTCAAAAATTGTTGATTTCTAGCATTTTTCTCAATTTTCAAATGTGATTTTCAGGGTGAAATAGGCGTTTCCCCCAAAAGTGCCAATTATTATATTAACATATGTAATTATCTATAACTTAACTTAAAAACATATTAAAGTTATCTAACGTTTAATAGCCTATATGTTTAAAGGGGAAAATTAAAGGGTACAGTTTCTTAACTGGGCTATGCTAATTGATTTAAACTATCGAATTGAAAATATTGATTAGCTTAATAATCGATATTTTTAAATATATCTATTTTAAAATAAAACTATCATAACCTAACCTAACCAACCTTGCTGATGGTGAAAAATCGCATGAAGGTTTACTAATCGAATCGATAGTTTCAATCGATAATGGCATGGCCCAGTTAAGAAACTGTACCCAAATTGAAGTGATGATCCAGATGTAGGCCTAATTCTCACAGCCTCATAAAATTTATTTAACTGTCAGTAATATAGAAATTGGTTAACTTATTGTTTCTATTTAGGCCTAGCTCACGACAAGTGAAATGTTATAATCGATAGGCTATTTAAGATAGGCCTAGGCCTATATCATATAAGAAATGTATCCGATTATATAGGCTATCGGAGGTTCTCTGTACACATAACTTAGTCATCAGACCCAGAAATTCTTTGATGTCCTATAAATAGGTACCGTACTCAGCTAAGAAACAAAAGTTTCCGTATATCATTAAAATAACAGCCTAACTCAATTAATAGGCCTAAGTTATTGGTCCAAAAATAAGTTGCCGGTTTCCAACTCATAAAACTAACAGCTAAGGCCTAATTCATGTTTAGGCCTACTAAGTTACATAATACTCATCACTCTTCCTCACCTTCAAAAGCAGTCATTATGTAAGAATTGTTTACTTAGATTAAAATTACAAATTCTTATCCTGTAATAAGTGCATGAATTAATTATATTTCACACTGATCGTATCTCTGAACCAGGGGATCGATTCTAATCCTATCTATCTACGTTCGCTATCCTTCCTTTCCTTAAGTCCTAACCTAAACCGAACCGACCCTAGTTCCTAGTTCCCAATGTTGTTATTGTTAATGTTCCCTCCCAATTCCCATCAGTTGATTCAGTCCGTTCAGTCCCACCGCATCCCAAAACCATCGGGCACACGGGAGGGACTAAGGCTAACATATCTTGTAGTGTCAGCGTTCGCCGCTAGAACTGCTAAGTTGAAAAAATTTAAATTTTTTGTTTTTTTTTTAGTTATAAAATGAACTTTTTAATTATAAAATATTGTTTGAAAATTATAAAATAAATGTTTAATTTTTCAAATTAAACTGTCATAACATAACCTAACAAACCAGACTTGCTGATAATATAAAAACTATATAAGATAAAAATCTAATTAATGATTAAGTTACTTATAATTTTGAATTGATTATAAAATTAATTTTAAAATTTAGTATTATAAAATTAAACTGTCATAACCTAACCTAACCAACCAAACTTGCTGATATGAAAAAATTGTTGACAAAAAGTTAGTGCTTCCAGCGGGATTCGAACCCGAGACCTCCTTTTATTGTTAGTTCAATCCGAAACGCTACCAACTAAGCCACGAACGCCGCTGTAATCACATCGTTTCGTTACGGTAATCGTGTCGCCTCAAGAGAAGACCTTAGCCACAAGAGATATGACGTCACTACACCTTTAGCCTTAGTCCCTCCCGTGTGCCCATTCCCCAAACCGAGACCCTAATCAAAGGTGAGCACTTTTTCACCTCAAATTAGTTGACGAATATCGAAACTGGAAAATCGATACTTGTACAGCTCGATTGTTTTTAGAATTTAGTACATCGCGATATCGATAGCCCACTCCCACTCCATCCATTCCCGTTCTCCTTTGACTTGTGACTTGACACTGACAGTTTGAATTTAATAATGGTAGATCATTAAAGGAGAGAACATATATGTAGCGCCTAGGGACGTAATGTCAATTTTTTAAGAGAATACATAAATTTGTTAATACCTTACGAACAAATTCTTCTTCTGTTTCTATTTATCAGTAAATAGTAATGGGAATAAAATTCAATGTCAACAGTTGAAAAGATTATTGCTAAGGTTATGTTCATCACGGGACCAGAATTTGTTTTAATCAAAACTGAATATCATCAGATGGAGGCCATTTCTATTACCTAATTTGTATTATTATTGTTAGTATCAACCCAGCTCTTGTAAAAAATGCCTCCTTCCTGAGAGGGAGTGTAATTTACTATTTTCCTTGCTTAAGACTAATAATTTTAAAGCTTAATGGTGAATTAAAAATTACAAAATTATTACCTTGATCACAGTTCTTAGAAATTTTATTCCTGATTCCTTCATTAATCTTATTTTATTTTTTGTCTGGAGGTCGATATGATATAGTACTCAAGAGAGTATTGAATTGAATGTAACAGTAAACTTATTTAGTATCAATTTATTCAGCTCAAGGGGTCTATTTTAGTTCCATTTAAGCAATGATAAATCATGTTTATTTTCGGGCCAAAACGTCATTTTTTTATGTTTATGATCCATACCGGTATTTTTCTAGTAATCGTGCTTTAAGTCAGTCTCAGTCAAATCTATATAATTAATACGCTACACGAAACTTTGTCGGTTGAACTCCTCCGCCATTTCTTTACCGATTTTATCCATTGACGTCTCATTGGAAAGAGCGTGTCGCGTAGATTTGCAAACTGGCCTAACATTTTTGAAAAAGTCCCTTGGGCTCTGCCCCAGTGGCATTGAAAGTTTCCATGTTATTCTTATGAAGAACATAATTGTTTACATTTTGATCTTGATCAGCTGTATAATTTAATTGCTGTTATTTATTTTTCAATTCAATGAAACGCATTGAGTACATTTATTTACTATTTGAGTTTGTGTAAACATAACCCCCAAGACGATTCGTGTTAGTATGGTTGTATCTTAAATGTGTGTATTTATAGTTGTTTTGTGTCGCTATGACGGATCGTGTTAGCATGTTTGTAACTTAAATTTGTGCATTTATAGTTGTATTGTGTAGCTATAATTTGTTATTTGTTGTTTTTTTCCTTTTAAATGCCTCCGACGCAACGACAACGAAACATAGACAGGAGGCGTAATCGTGATAGTGACCACAGCTAACAGTGGCGCGTAATAGGCTTAACTCATCACAGTCAGCACCTGACCCTGGACAATCTCAACTCAACTATTAGGTTACAAATGCGCCCTAACACTACCCCAAAACGACTTTTCGTTCTCAATTGGCCCTCTATCAATGACCTGTGTTGCCCGTACTACGACGCATTATAAGAAGAAGAAAACCGGCCGGAATACTTTAGATTTTTCGAAGATAAACATGGTCTGAGTTACACACCGGTAATTTTTGAGTTGACTCTTTTAAACTCATTGTAAATATGACTGTTATTCGTTTTGATATAACTCCTGTAATACTTTGCAATTGCTCGAATTCGAGCAACATGTACACTAGTTATTATTATTATGTGTTCGCTGCAGTCAAACCAATAAAATTTACTCCGATTCCGATTCGATTACTCTAAAACAATCGAGCGGTAAAAGTATCGATTTTCCAGTTTCGATATTCGTCAACTAATTTGAGGTGAAAAAGTGCTCACCCTAATCAAATCGTCTTCTTCTTTTCGAGTTTGCTTTTATAAAGTTAGCTTGATTTAACTACCATGTAGCTACGCTATTTTATCTACACAATTTTCCCGGGCTTTTTTAAAATGCGAGCATGATATAAAGGAAAACATTTCTCATCCTTTAATCCTTATGGAACCGCTGAAGCCAATTTTATTGTTAGTTCTGTCCGGTGCACTGCAGAGGTTTGTTTACAAATTGTTTCTTGTTATTTCAGTAATTTAAAACCTCGTTTAACAACAACAAAAAAAGAACTAATAACAATAATAATAACGTGTACCCTGGTTATAAAACGAAACAATAAAGCACAAATCATGAAACGAACCCTAAAATAATAGAAACAAAATTTCTTTGGCACTTGTGATCAGTGTCACCGGACTCCCGGTCGGACATGAGCTTGACACGAAAAACGAACTTCAAAAGTTACAATGGGATGGGGATGGGAAGTCTACTACTTCTCTACTTGCGTTGGTTAATATAGTCATAGATAAAACATACTCCTCAAGAAGGGAGTACTACCTTTCTAGTGGAATTTTACCCCCTGGGCACTGATGTCACTATGACGTAGTAACCTGAGTGGCCAAAAGTTTGTTCGCGGCCGGAATTTTACCCCCGCGGATTTGGAAGTCTAATGAAAATAGCCAGAGCGTGATTAATTAGATTATCGATAAAAATCGGAATTTTACCCCCTGTCCATATTAGTAGCGTTTAGACAACTGAAGATGTACGGGCCGGATTTTTACCCCCGGAATTTTACACCCGGATTTTTACCCCCGGAATTTTACCCCCTGGCCGATTTTAGAAATTGAATGATAGATTTTCTTATTTCTGTTTTAGCGAATTTTCCATATAGGGAATAAGCTATTACCGTTGTACTCATGGTAAGATCTGGACCCGGGACCGATATATTTTTTCGTTTTGAGGTCCCTAGAGGCCAAAAACACCATCCGTTCAAATTCATGTATATATATATATATATATATATATACACACAATACCCAACAAAACCGGATGTTTATATATGTGTGTGTGTCCGTTAGCACGATAACTCGAGCAAAAATGATCCGATGTTGATGAAATTTGGTACAAACGTGTAAATCTACATTTATTCGAACGAGTTCGCGAACCAGCATTATCGGACTATGGGAACGGGGGTTTATGGGGGGTTTTATGGGGTAAAAATCGGGTTTTCCCATTTTTGACCATAAAAACACAAAATTTTACAATTTCTTTTCACACCATTTTGTAGAGCATAAAAGAACAAATAATTTAGTTTATTGAAGCGTTTTTGTGCGCCTAATGGTTACGGAGAAAATTCTAAAAAACTGTAAATTTAAAATCCCTATGTTATTCTTATGGAGAATAAGTCAACTGTTGTAGTTTGCTTGTTTATGAACATATTATCATGATATTATGATTGAATTTGGAAAATAAAATAATTTCTTACTAAACTATTAACATAAAAAACCCACATTTTTACTCTCCCTGTTGCAGCAAACCTAAGTACACGTTAAACTAATTCTATTTAAAATAGGGAATAAATATTATATTTTTAAGGAGGCATTTTAGTGTAAATCCTATCAGGCTAATGGAAATTCGCTTAGTCTGCAGGTTTGCTGCAGCGGGGGTATTTAATTAATGAATTGTAAACATTTCATAATTTATGCCAGTCGCCTATCTTTATTTATTTATTTTGTAATCCCAACCGAGTAAACAGAATTTGCTGTTTAATTTGTATGTTCGGGATTTGCGTTTGGGGCCAACTGTTGGTTAATAAGAATGTAAAATAAACTGAGTAGCTCACTTAAATGATAATTGAGTGAACATTTCTTCGTAAAGAAACAATAAGGCATATTTTGTTATTGTTACAATACAAACGAAAAACATTGTTTTACCACAGTTGTATAATAAATCGTTAAAGCAATCTTCGAATCAATTAATTACCATTCTGATGTTTGTTTATACGTCATATTAATCAACAGTTGGCTTCAAAGATCGAATCCTGATACTCGAATCTCAAAATTAAAATCAAAAACCTGTTCGATTAGTAGATGTTACAAATAAATTAAGATGGGCTACTTAGTAATAAAATGTTTACTATTAAACTAAAACAGAATGAAGATTAATCATTCTCACTAATTTATATATCTGGCCAGGGGGTAAAATTCCGAGGGTAAAAATCCGGGCCGTACACTCTAGGTTTTTATAATTTTATGTGTTCTGATTAAATTCACAACCGTGAAAATATATGTTTAATTCCACGTTTAATCCATCGAGCTGATGTCGTGAAACTCAAAAGTTCGCGGCCGGAATTTTACCCCCTGGTTTGTGACGTCACGTTTGCCCAGGGGGTAAAATTCCAGAGGGGGATAAAAATCCGCTACCCCAATGA